CCAGATCACACTTCCCACATCAGCACCTGCAGCTGCTTTAGTATTTCAGCCTCTTTTTTTTTTTTTTTTTTTTTTCTTTTTGTCTTTTTTCGTGACCGGCAACGGATTGCAACCCTCAGTGTCGCGCCCGTACCGGCCCGGGACCGGCAACGGAATCGCAACCCTCGGTGTTGTGCCCACCCCTCGCTCAGCCAGTGAGCGGCTGGTCTGTATGTGGGATCCGAACCCTGGGCGGGAGCGCCACCACGCTACAGTGCGCCACCGGGCCGGCCCCAGCCTGTCTCTTCTACTCACGTTGGCCTACAGGACACACAAGGCAGTGTTGTCCTGAGCCCTTGACACCAGGGGTCCAAGAATACACTACCCAGCTCGCAAGAGCCTTGCTCTTTTAAATTGTGTGCCAAGAAGAACCACAACAGAAACGTTTTCCAGATAAAAAAGGGTTTTTGGTTTAGCTCAGATGTGAGAAGGTACATCTTCCTGTCCATCCTCTTGAAAGTAGCCCCGTTATACCGGAGGGAGTCACTAGCTGGCCTGCAGAGGGCCCATCCCTTATCCGACAATAGCTCCAGGTCTCTACTTCCAAGCAACAGGCAAGTCTAGGTGAAGTCCTTCCTGGCTTGGGAGTGTGGCTGCAATCATACAGGTTTCTTCAACTGGGTGGCTGCTGGGAACCAACTCAAGCAGAAAAGTTCCTTTAATGGAACAGTTTGAAAAAACCGTTCCAACACAGCCATCCAATGCAACACTTCAGTGCGCGCCTCCCCAGATCCTCTCCGGTGCTCCAGCATCTTAGGCCGACAGCTCGGGTCCTTTCGGGACGACAACAGCACGGTCTTCGGTGTCCCTCGTTGCTCAGGCTTCTGGTTCAGGGCGGGGCGGCGGCGCCCCTCCGCCGGGCGGCCCGCACCAAACACTGCTGCAGCACCGGGTACAGGCGCTGGCAGCCCTCGAGGCCCAGACGCACGGCCTCGGCCCAGCTCTCGGTCGGGCCGCCCTCCCCGCTGCCCAACAGCCCGGCCACCTGATTGAGCACGGGCATGAGCGCCACGGTGAGGCCGGCGGCGGCGCGCTCCTCCTCGAGCCGCGTGGGGTCCAGCAGCCAGGTGGG